AGAGTGCGGCCACGGCCACCTGTTGGGTGGCGTCTCCTTGGTCCAACACTTGGCCCGTAAGGATATCATTAAATTTCACTTAAGCCGTTCCTCGAGTAGGAGCCCCCGAAAAACTCCACAGACAACGACAACAGCGCGACGACAAGGAGCTTCAGCAGCAGTTGGCGCTGCGGTGGGGGGGGGGAACGGAGGCTGTGGCAACGAGGCAACGTCCAAGTTGCAAAATCTCCAGATGGAGCGTCGAGCAAGTGCCAAAAAAGTGGTTTGGTTTTCGTCTTTGTTTCGCTTTTGCCTCCTGCCTGCACCCGTGCCCCACCCCGCCGTCCCCCGCCCCCCTCTCTCCGTGTGCCTCGCGTCTGTGTCTGGGTGCCTCCTTGTGCTGCGTGCGAGTTGTTGCACTTTGCGCTTTCGACCCACATTTGTCTTTGGTTTGCATTTTTGTCGAGGATTGGCATCCATCCGCCTGCCTCCATCTGCCCCGCCGTCTGGCGTGTCTCCGTCCCCTCGCAGTGTGTGTGTGTGTCTGTGTGTGTGTTTGTTGCGCATTTCCTTGTACAATTTTCCTTCTTGTTGTTTTTGTTGTGGCATGGAATTTGGCTCTTTTATGCATTGCATTCAATCTTGGTGCTGTGTTAGCCGCTTCTTCATGGGATGTGTTGCATGCGGCATGCTGCTGCTGCTGCTGCTGCTGCTGCTGTTGTTGTGGTTGCTGCATCTTGGAGTCGCTTGTGTACTGTTGCATCTCCTCGAGGAGCTATATTACGGCTGTTGTTGCTTGTGGGGCGCCTCTCTGGCCCTGGCTTGAATATTTCTGTTCTGCGGTTGCTCCTGGCCATAAACTGATGCTCATGTTGCCTCATCCACTGCTCTTGTTGCTGCTGTCTGCCTGCCTGCCTGCCTGCCTGCCTGCCTGTCCTTCCTGTGTGGCAGGCAGGACTCTCTACTCTACTCAGTGGCACTTTTAAATGAAGTTTAAGCTCTTTCTTCTTCTCTTTCTTTCCATAATGCACTGCCTTTCGGTCAAGGAGTCTGTGCCACTGTGTGTGTTGCATGTGGGGGGCTAAAAGTGTTGCCGGAAAATGCCAAAAATCTCATCCCAAATATTCCTGACATGTTTAAACCAAAATCCTTAGATTGTGGAATAGTTTGCCGTTCTTTAAGCTCCGGCTATAAGGGAATTTTTCCTCGATATTTGATATATTTCCTTTCTTCATTGCAACATTTTGTTGCATCTGGCATTTATTTGGTATTTTTTTTTTGATTTTTTACTTTTAATTAAATTTATTTCATTTTATTTAAATTTTTTTTTTTTTTTTTTTGCAAATAAATGAAATTTCTAGCGACGGGCCGACGGGTTTTTTCTCAGAGAGATCATTTCTTGGTCTGCTGACAAGATTTCAATTTGACTTATGGCCGCCCGTCGCCTAACACGATGGAAACCGTGTCCCCTCCGCCCCTCCTTCCCTCCGTCCGTCCCTCCGTCCGTCCGTCCTCTCGTCGTCTGTCGTCGCATTTCCCTACGAGAGCTATCGTATCTGACGGATTGCCTAGCATGCAGGCGATGGCACAGCTAACACATGTTTTAGCTAAATAATTGAGATTGTTGGCATTGCATGCGCCCCAAGACCCAGTCCGCAGTCTCCAATCCCCAATCCCCAATCCCCACCAAGTATCTTTCGATTATCTGGCATTCTTCTCATCCTCTCGGATGTCATCCAAAATTGGGCATCATGCCAGCCAGCCAGCCAGCCAGCCAGCAGCCAGGCGCAGGGCCACTTTCTTCACTTTCTTTCTCCTTCCCTGCTGTCTCCTTGCACTCTACTGCGGTTTCTTCCATGACGAAGCGAGAGATGTGTACGAAATCAAATATGTTCATAATTTGTTCAAATAAACAGCAAAATTCATAGTACGATAAATATTTACACGCACAAACAGACGACAGAAGGCGGGCTACTGTTGGAAGTGGCTTCGGTTTGGTTGTGTCTTTGGATACCCTTGCAGAGGAGGGCACTATTATTTGAAGGAGAAGCTGGAAATTCGTAAAAAAGTCAGTTTGTTGCCCTGTAAACTATGGAGCAGTGGAAAAGTCACCTTGGCTGATGGGTTATTTGTGGTTTCTGATTTTGTAGGACTCTCAATGCTCTGGTCTTGAAATCGAAGTCCTTCTCCCCCTTTCTTTTTCGATTTCCTTCTCCGTTGTTATCCTTAAAAAATAAATAATAAATAAATAAATAATAAATAAATAAATAATAAATAAATAATAAATAAATAATAAATAATAAATAAATAAATAATAAATAAATAAATAATAAATAAATAATAAATAAATAATAGATAAATAATAAATAAAAATAATTAAAATAAATAGTAAATAAAATAACAAATAAAATAACTAAATAACAAATAAAATAAATAAATAACAAATAAAATAAATAAATAACAAATAAAATAAATAAATAACAAATAAAATAAATAAATAACAAATAAAATAAATAATAAATAAAATAAATAATAAATAAAATAAATAATAAATAAAATAAATAATAAATAAAATAAATAATAAATAAAATAAATAATAAATAAATAATTAATGAATAAATAAAATAAATAAAGTACGATTGTTAGCGTATAGAATATTCGCTTCAAACCTACATAGATTCTTGGAACCTATCGGTATTTTTTTTCTCTGATTTTTTTTTGTTTAGTTGTGGGTTGAAGTTTTTTCTATGTTTATCTCTGTCTCTGCACTTAAGCAGACAATGAACCGGCGCTAAGAAGGCATCAGAATGATGATGACATCAGCTGTCCGTCGGTCACCCACGTAGCATATGCTGTCCCTCTCTCTCCCTCTAGCCAGTGGCTTTCCCTGTCACACCCGTAATCGTAGGACAGATTTTTATCAATTTCATAAATTATGATTCCAGGCAACTTTGTTGCCCCGCTCATTAGGTCGTAAAAATCAATAAAACATCAGGCGCACAGATTTTAAGTGTGCCATTTAGCAGCGAAAGATTGAAGTGAAAGAGAGTGAGAAAGATATAGCGAATGTTTTAGATAAAGATGGTTATACTATGTGCATGTGTGCGTGTGTGTGTGTTGCATGGTCTTTTTGTTTGCTGTTTGGCCCACAACAAGCGGGGCTAAGGTGAATAACAACAAATTAGATAAGCGATTTATTAGCCAGAGCGAGAGATACGAGATACGAGGCACAGAACCAGACACACGATTACAGAACTAGCAGATACATTTGTATCTATGGGTGTGTGTGCTATGCAAATTACCTTTTGCCGACATACAGAGATTTCTGTTTGCCGAGAGTTTTGTAATTTACTGTAAAGAGTCGTGTGAATAAATTTGTTGCTTTTGCTCGTTTGATTATGTTTTCGTGAATCATCTTATCGGAGCAGCCATGAATGGACGGTTGGAGGCCATGTGAATGGGAATCTATTTTTGGGCATAGATACTGCAGGGAAAGCACTTGGGGAAGGAATCACTAAAAAAGGCAGATTATAATGGGAACGGAATGGGCCAACATAATTAATTTATAATTATTATAATTAATTTATAATTTATAATGACTCTATAAAATAGAACCCCAGGAATTTTCTTGGATTTATTGTGAGATTTTAATACAAATTATTTGTATTAGCATTGTGTTGACGTTTATTTATTTCTTAAAGTTTTTAATTGTGTTTGGGCCTAAGAATTTGTCCATCATTTCTTTTTATATCCACTTTAAACTGGTTTAAAGTCTTTAAAACATTTTAATGATCGTAACGGGAGTGTAGGGACTATAATTTGTATAGTAAAAAATTATGAAATACAAATTTTATTTATGATTTGTATTTTTAATATCAGAAATAATTCATAGTTTTATTTATTAAATTTTTATATTAAAAACTGAAATATGTTTTTATTTTCAAATTTAAAAAAACGATTTTAATATAAAAATTAAATAGTACAGCCGAACTTTTCTATTACGAAATTCCATACAACGAAGTTTTCTATATATTGAATTTATTTCCAGAACACTGCAATGTTCTATGTTCCTGCAAACAATTCTATACTAAGAGTTTTCGGTATTACGTTTCGGTTTTCGGTATTACGTTTCGGTTTTCGGTATTACGTTTCGGTTTTCGGTATTACGTTTCCCCTTGAGATTCGTTGTATGGAAGTTAGACTGCAGTTATAAGACCATTTATTAAAAAAAAAAAAATGCTTTTATTATTGGTTTATCTTGCTCTGGGATACCTCTTGTAAAAATAGGTCACTTTTTTTTCCTTGATTTTTTTTCTTATATTTTTTATTTCTGATTTGCGACTTTGAATTGGATTGGAATAGCTTGAAATTGTATTGTAAAATTCTTGGAACCTACATAATATATGATTCAAATATGACTTAAATATACTAGATGATGATGGTTTCTTTTTTTAATCTCCCGAAAAGTACTTAAAAATACACGCATGTATCTTTTAATCCAATCAATCGATTCTGCTTACTTATTTACATTCCTGCTTTAATTTATTTAGTCTGAATTTTTTTTTCTCATCAGTTTCTCTTTTATCACATTAATTTGTGCTGTGTTGTGTTTGCTTTCGCTTAAAAAAGAATGTTTCAGCCTCCAACTTTTGTATATTTACACGTTTCGAATAAGGAGAGAGAGATAGAGAGAGATAGAGAGAGAGAGAGAGGGAATCGAGTACAAGACCGAATGAACAAAGGAAAATAAACAGTGCTGTGTAAATAAGGTCAGAAAATGTACAAAAAGTTTGCCAATTGCTGATGCTGCTGCCGCTGGAAGCGGAAGTATCTCTGATCTCTCTCGGGTTCTGTCTGCCTCTGCCCGCTCTATTTCTGTCCCTTTCTTCTCTTTCCTTAAACCATAAAGTACTTAGTTTTATAAAATAGTTTTAGGATATCCTTTATTTGTGCCCGTATCCAAAAAAAAAAAACCATCAAAAAACATTGTTCTCCTTTGCTCTTATTATTTTTCGTTTTAGGTAAATTTTGTTCTTGTTTTGTGGTTGGTCTAGGGCCCCCACCCCAGACACACTTGTTAGCATGAATATGAGTCAAGCTGTAAGTCCATACAAAATTCTCATATTTATTATTGTAACTATTGTAGAACAAGAAAAGCCTATAAAATGAACAACAGTTGAAAACACATCTGCATACACATGTATAATTTCTGGAAAATATGTCTAGTGAAGGGTATCTGAAAGTCGTTAAGTCAGAAATTCGCAGGGAATATCCAAACAAAGACAGAAACTATGCAGCAAAGCGGAGTCCCGTTGCGTTCCGTTCTTCCTTGGTTCGTTTTCTGCTGAGAGCGAAGCTTGGCAGCGAGAGTCGCGTCAGGCAGTTGTTTTTGTTGCTGAGCGAGCGATTGAATGGCAAGCAAAGGCATGCGAGCAGCAGCCGAAGCTGAAGTACAGAAAGCAGCACCAACAAAGTGAAACTCCGCTGCGCTCGCATGGTTGTTGCTGCTGCTGCTGCTGCTGAGAGAGCGATGCAAGAAATTGCCGAGAGAGCAAGAGAACGAAGCCATTGCGAGGGCTTTTAGTGCGTGAGAGGAGCAATGCTTGCTGATGAAACGAAGATCAAGAGATAAGACTGCACGGCGCGGAGCAGCCTTTTGCTTTTAGAATTATGCAAAAAGAGAGGGGAAGATGCTGGAAAAGAGTAAAGCAGACAGCGTGCCGCCGTGTTCTAAGGCGTCAAACGAATGCAGATTTTCCGTGTACAGCCTTTTAGTTCCTTTTAGTGCTACTCCTGTGTAGATTTAAGAGCCGTCCGAAACTCGAGTGTCAATGCAAACAATTTTACAAATGCACAAAAATGTACAAATAGTTTTAAACATTTGTTTGGCAGACAAAACAGAACAAAACAACAAAAAAAAATGGGTATATAAATGTTATTGGTTCCGTCTGGGTAGCCGTCTGTTCGCTTTTCCCCTAAAATGTCCGAATGATTTTCATGGCAAAAGTCTCGTCAAATGTTGGCTGCTGCCAGCCTCGGAGCGAGAGAGAGAGAGAGAGAGAGAGGTAGAGATATGCTAGAGATATTTGTATTTTATTTCGATTTGATTTTGCTTTCCCTGTTGTTGCTGCCTCTGCTCCTGCCTGCCTGCTGCTGCAATTGAATTGCAAATATTTGCGCTACAATTTCTCAGCGTGCCATAGATAAATAAATGAATTTTCGATTGTATTTTATTAACAGTAAATAAAGTTTCAATTTCTCACACACCAGCGCACACACCAGCAGACTCTCTGTGTTCATTAGATGAAATGCGCCTGCCGAAAACCCAAAAGAATTCCCTGTATTTTCTGGCTATATCTTTTGTGCATTCCCCAAAAACTAAAGAAACTAACGAATCTCCCTTGGAATCTTTGACTTGAAAAGTTCTTCTGGCTAAAAATACAACATACATACATATTTACGATTTGATTTCATTTTCATGTTTCTCTCGGGACAACATTTTTAGGGTGCCCCCCCCCCCCCCCCCCCCCCCCCCCCCCCCCCCCCCCCTGTCGGTCATAAGTCAATAGTTGGCGACGTTTTAATGGGGCTCCTTGATCGTCGTGTAAGTCCATTTTCAGCGCTAATGAAATATTATGAATGATGTAGACGCCGCCCCCCGCCCGATCTCCCTAGAAATTAAATCAAAATATATATAATTCATGTGGGGTTTACGACTTGTCCGGCATGTCCCTATGCCTCCTCCGAATAATTGGTGTTGCATTTGCACGTTTTATGACCCTCCTCACATTTTTAATGTACAAACAACTTTTATGGTCGCTGGTCCGTCCGGTAATGTTTTATTAATTGAATTTAGAGAACAGGGTCCCGCAATTCCACATAGATTCATCACGAAATAAAGAAATGAAAGAAAGTTTTTCAAGTTGTGAATCATTCTATGAATGATGCCACTTTATGGCACGATATCGTGACATCAATCTTGTGGCACGCGGCATGCTGTCTCTGTCTCGGTCTCTGTTTCCGTCTGCTTTTCTATTTCCCATCTCCCTCACTTCATGTGTTCTTAATCAAGTATGAAGCAAAGAGTCTTAGATGAATGCATTTCCACGGAAAAGATGGAATCATTCACTCGTGAGCGATACCACCGGTCCACTAGCAACACATTCGCCTTTCGCTTAGGGGAAATATTTAGGGAAAATTCACATCCCGAAAATGTATTTCAAATGCTTTCTATCTTACAAAAACAATTTAATAAATAAATTAATAAAAAAAAACATAATTAAGAAAATGTAATACATAAAATTTAAAATTAACAAAATGTTATAAAAAAAATTTAAATTAATATAATGTTATAAAAAAATTAAAACACACAGGAAAAAGCAAAAATTGAAACAGTTCAAATGAAAAAACTAAAAATGTCACCAAAATATTTAATAATAATAAAATAAAATATTAATTAAATAAAAAAAGTAATATATTATTAATTAAATAAAATAAAATATTAATTTAAAAAAAATAATAATACAAAAAATTAAAATTAGACAAAATTAATAAATGGGAATATAAATTCACACATTAATTAATTTTGTATTAAAAATAAATGCAAATTGGAATGTGGGACTCCATTTAGTGGAAGTTTTTGCATGGAAAATACACAAAAATCTGCTCAAAGAAGCGGAAACAGAAATGAATTTTGCTCATGTTACGAATTTGTTGATGAAGATAAATGTTTTCCGCTAAGATCTAAGATCACGCACGAAATAAATGTCACTTTGAGGCCATTATAAATTTGTCTCTTAATCAAAACTATTTCCCACCTACTTAAATGGACCCGAAGATGAATTTTGGGGTGCCCGAAAGGTGCCTGAATAAAGATTTTGATTTCGATTTGAATGGGTTTTTATTTTTGCAAATCACCGGAAACGGCAGGCGAATTTATGGCTCTTCTTGTGGCATGTAGCATGTAGCTGTTGGGTGTCGGTGGTTTTGTGTGGCGTGTATAAACAATGCAACAACTTGTATATTTTTAGTGGCATAATTATGGCCCAGATTTATGGCCAAGAGCCGACAGCCATACTCTGCTGGGGGGAATGGAAAACCATAATATTTTGGCTAATCTGAACGGGATGGCAAGATTAATGTGGCTAACACAAAGTGGCTAATGTCTGGCTGGGGATGGCTTTTTTTTTATTTTAATTTTTTCATTTTTGAACCCATTTAACAAATCAAAGAGGCGCCGCTTGAAATACAAATAATAATATGCCATATGTTTTATGAGATGTGGGAAATTGGCATGGAGATGGTACAGTGCGGTTGATAGCGAGAAGATAGAGAAGGTCGTATATATTTAAAAAATATATTGGTTTATATGTATTCCCAATTGGGTCTTATTCGATATGTTGTCATTATCAGAACTAAATAAAGCTATAAGAGCGTAAGCTACAGCGAATAGTGTACAGCGATTAAGATACATCGAGTAAGATACAGCGATAAAGATACAGCGAGTAGGATACAGCGAGCTAGATGTAGAGTATAAGCGTATAAGATACACGTTTTGCACAGAAAAGTAGACACAGCTACAGCGATTGATGCAGATAAAGCGATTAAGTAACGAGTAATATACAGCGAGTAAGCTACAAAAAGTAATATACCCGAATACGCTAAAAATAAGTTCTCCACAACGAATTTTCTACAACGAGTTCTCTACAACGAGTTCTCTACAACGAGTTCTCTACAACGAGTTCTCTACAACGAGTTCTCTACAACGAGTTCTCTACAACGAGTTCTCTACAACGAGTTCTCTACAACGAGTTCTCTGCAACGAGTTATCTACAACGAGTTCTCTACAACGAGTTCTCTACAATGAGGTCTCTACAATGAGTTCTCTACAACGAGTTCTCTACAACGAGTTCTCTACAACGAGTAAATAACTTTGAGTAAGCTACAGCGTTTACCCTAGAGCGAGTAAGCGAAAGAGACTAAACTTAACCCACAGCAAGGAAATTACGGGCGATTACAACGATTACTGCAGCGAGTAAGCAACAAGGCGTAGGTGACAACGGCGAGTAAACTACAGCGATTACTCTGCAACGAGTGACCTACAACGAATACACTACAACGAGTACTCTACGGGGTAACTATTTCACTGATCGGTTGTTAACCTTTTTATGGAATAAAGCTACTATAATACGATATAGAATCGGTCAATCATCCTGGTCAATCCTAAAATACAATTATTCCTTCCTATAAAATCCTATCCGTTGCTAAGGAAACGTATCTCTTCATCCGTATATATGTACATGCATATTTTAGGAACGCACTGTAAAGATACACATCAAGATACAACAAGATGCAGACACCGCATCATAGATACAATAAAATATATTTAATACTTAATATTTTAGTCGCATGTTATTTGTCCACTTGATCTCTCTCACACTTGTTGCTCATAAAAAATGCCTTTTAAATAGCTCTCACGGATATCTAAACATTTCGTTTGTGCCACCCCCACCCCCTTGCTTGCCACCGCTCGGGGCAGGCAGCCTTCTGGTCCGTTCTTTTTGTTCTTTTCTTGCGTGGGCCGAGTGTTGGGGCTGTTCGCTTCGGTTGGAGCGTGGCCAAGTTATGCACTTCTTGACGCCGAAAAACCAAAAATAAATCTTGCGCCGTAAAAACGGAAACAAAACAAAGCAAAAATCGAGAATAGAGAATCGAGCATGGGATAGAGATACTGTATCTGGAAAGAGCTTAATTAATTTACGTGAAATTTTGATGATGTATTAAACGGCGTGGAACCGTGTATTCGGATGCATGTCTGGGCCATCAATTAGCCAATATTTTGAGCGGCAAATAATTCAAGATATTTTCTGACAGGCGGAATGAGGCCCCAGAATGAGGCGCCACTCCCTCCCTCTCTGGGCATGAAGCCTTGTCCATTTAGCCTTTGAAAGGCTCACGTTTGACCCACTGCAGGGGGTGTCTCCCCCCCCTCTCTGTGTCTGTCTGTGTGGCAATTTGTATGCAAGACTTGTGTGCCTGCCTCCTTTTACTGCAGCACGTTGGAGTCTTGCTGGCTAAACGATTGCTGCTCTCGAGTGCAATCTGTTTAAAGAGCGAGAGAGAGAGACAGAGAGAGAGAGAGAGAGAGATCTGTCTTTGGGCGTCCTGGGGGTGTCCTAGTGCGGCTGCTAATTGTGTTTGCGGCAGCCACAATTAGCCCTCGAATGTATGCTACGCCAAAAACTAATTTCCACATCAATGCATTTTTAATCAAAAAGCTCTCACTCACTCTCGCGTTGCAAGTGGCACGCTCCACACTCCACACTCCACTCGCCTGAAAGAGTTGCAAAAATAAAAATGTAATGCTATTAGCTCCACTCCCCTCTCTGGCCACCGCCCGCCGCCCGCCGCCCTCCTGCCACAAGAATAAGCAAGTTTCGGGGGCAAGGGAATCGCGTGTAAATATTTTCGCACAACTGCAGTCGGAGCGTGTAATGTATTTAGCTGCTGCTACGTGCCACAACTGCCACAAGTCGAGTTAGTTTTCGCCCTCGCCCCCCCACAGCCACACAGCCACACAGCCACACAGCCAGCAATCGCAATTTGAAGTTATAATTTATTTAAGCATCCATTAAGGAGCACATATTGATGATCCCCCACAGACGACGGTGGGGGAGGCGCCTCCTTTCTCCTCCTTTCTCCTCCTTTGAGGCGAAAGCTGAGTGCAATTCGACAAACGCCCGGGCAATTACTTTTGAGTTATTTGGCTTAATAGAAATTCAGCGAGCGTGCGGTGTTTGTCTTGTTCCAGCCATTACCTGTGGCCTGTGCCACATGCCCCATGCCCCATGCCACATGCCCCATGCCGGAGTGGCATCCACTTTGATTTTCATAAGTAAATGTTGGACTCTGTGCCGCTTTGCCTAGTCCTGAGACCCAACCAACTTGTCTCCAGAGCAAACTCGCAGAGAGCGGCAGGGGGGCCTCTCGGGAGGGGACTCCAAAGAACGAGCGACAGTCTGGGGACCTTTGGGGATCGATTATGAATTATTTGAGTTGGCCAGAAACAGAAAATGACTTATGAGGCACCCGCACAATGGACGGTGCCACAATGGCCGCCACGACACACGTTATCAATTGTTGCACACCGGGTTACGGGGGGGTGGCGGAGGAGCAGGAGTATCCTTTTGACACTAATAAATTGTAGCCGCAGGACAACAACAACAGCAGCAGCAGCAGCAGAAGAAAGCGAAGAAAAACCCCATGAAAATTAATTTTCTTCGCATTCTTTTGGGCCGTGATTTATTTCCACAATTTCCTTGATGGTTTTTCAATTTCAAAAAACCTCTATTCATATTTTTTTGTATAATTTATGTGCGACAAAAAATAAAATAAAACCCAATTTAACCTTTAACCTTTTTGTGTTTTGTATCTTTTTGCAGGTAAGTTTCCACTACGACGAAAAAGAAAACGTAAGTTCCATAATTTATTTATTAATTACCTCTCAAGGGGGGTTCGGTTAGGGGGGGGGGAACCTTTTAAATAATTAATAAATTCGCTACGTAATCGATTTTCATATAAATTGAGATTTATTTACGAGAGAAATTGCTAATCCCCAGTTGAGCATTTTTATGCCCGCCACAAAGGCCACTCATGAGCAAGGGGAGGGGAGAGAGGGGAAGGGGGAGGGGGTGGTCATGATGGGAACACAAGGACCCCGTCTTCCCTCCCTCCCTCCCTCTGCAGACCAACTATTTAGACAGTTGATTAATCGACAAACGCCATTATGTTTCCTAATGTCTTTTCCTTGAGAGAACTCCTCCTCCTCCACCTCCACCACCTCCTCCTCCTCCTGCTGGTGGTCTACGTGTGTGTCTGCCTCCTTTTGTTGCGTTGTTTTTGTGCGGTCGAGAGGGCAACCGATGCCCAATTAGGTCGTTGCTCAAAGTGTCATCAATAGGCCGCACAAATTGCAAATTGCAAATTAATTGCCACACAAATTTCTGGAGCGCCTCTTTCTCTGCCACAAAAGGGGATAAACAAAGAGGATCGATGGCCCATTGGATATCCTTACTCTTTGAGGGGCTGCAACACCGGTATCTCCTAATTATCTGCCACTAATTGTTGCCATTCTTTTGGGCACCACTTCAAAGCGTTTTCCATTGTGATTTAAGCAGAGTTGCATGCCTGTCATAAATCTCTCTTTCGCCCCCTCTTTTGGCAGCGACAAAGGCAGAGGCCTGGGGCAGGGGCGGGGGCAGGCGATGGGGCAGGGGCAGGGGCAGGGACTGGGTGTTGTGCTCAATCAACGCGTCACGGCGTGGCAGCGATCATAGCAGGAGACACACTCTATCCGACGTATACGTATCGTACGAGTATGATTGCTGATAATTTAAATGACACTCGAGAGGGTGGATGGAGGAGTTTTTTTTTTTGCATGTGCCACATGTGGTATTCCACCGGGAATTCGATAGAAATGTGGGCCATTCGATGGGGGGAAATTCAATTTTGGTGGCCATAGAATAATGCACTTTTCATTCTTAGGTCTGTGTGGAACAGGGGAACCAGAACATTGGTAATGGAACAGACATACTCGTATTATGGAAAAAAGATATGAGCCTCAGGGGAGCAGTGATAATGAGTCAGTATAGATGGGGCACCTTCAATATTGCACCACAATTGCGAGTGTTCCATTTCCATTGTACGCTGTTTCCAATATATTATTCCACTATAAGAAATGCAGAGCAGTGGTACCGGAACATGGGTAATGGAACAGAAATACTATGGAAAAAAGATATGTGTGTTGGACCCTAATGAACGCTCTTCAGTTTTTCACTACAATTGCAAATGTTCCATTTCCATTCCCATTCCGTCTGCAGTGAGTCAATATTTTAGCCATTCTAAGAATAGTGGAACAGTTTGGAAATGGAACATGCATAGCTGAACAGACACAGTGGAACATATTGTATTATGGAACGAAGAGAATGTACCAGAGTACCAGTGGATCGATCATAATGGATCAGTATTAATGGAGGAGCCTCCTCAATGTAGCACTACAAATGGGGATGTTCCATTCCCAGCCTACCATTTTTTACAGCGAGTCATTATTTCCATTATTTGTATCAATGTTGAACGGTGGAATGGGAACACGTGTAATAAAACAGCTTTATAGAGCAGACAATAGGCCATATATTATGGAACAAAGATAATGCACGAGTGTCAGTGGATTAGTACGAATGGCCATCTTTCAATGTTCCACTACCATTGCAAATGTTCCATTTCCCTTTGGAACAGTTTCAATAATGGTACAATTTCTACAGCGAGTCAATATCTACATTATTTGAACAGTGTGGAACGTTGGAATTGAAACACTCGTAATGGAACAGCTATAATTAAACAGACAGCAGACAACAGAGCAGAGCAATGTAATAGTGTTAGTGGAACGGTGAGACTTGGTCAGTATCCATGGAACAGTGAAATGTAACATTCACGGGTAAACAATGGAAGGAGGCCACTCAAGGGCTTCCTTTTTAATTGGAACATTGGAAGTGGAACATTAAAAAATCTGCAAACTTGTTGCAAAAATGTAAAAAACATAAATTTGCATTTTCAAGTACCAAATTTTGTTCCTTTCTTGTTTTTTTTTTTGGGTTACTCACCTGGCAACCCTCTTCAGTGGTCACCCACCCCACCCCCCGCTGCAACCCTCTCTCTTCCCGCTATCCATTGCAATCTCCTCGTCGCCTTTCCCTGCCACTTTCTTACGCTCTCCGCTGCCATTCCGCTGCTGCTCATCTCTTCTCCGTCTTGCACTCAATTATGAAAAGAAATTATTAAGTGCGAGCTGCGCTAAATTAGCGCGCAATTGAGTGTGGCCAGGGTTGACAGGGTGCTTTCCCAGGGGGAGCGCGAGAGGGAGGCAGGGGGGTGGTGCAGCCTCGACTCTTGGCGGGTGCAACGGCAACGTCTTCTTTGTGGTCTGCCAGCCTGTGGCCTGCTGCCTGTTGCCTCATAATTTCTGCCACATTTCTAGGCAGCATGCCTCCCTGCCTGCCTGCCTGCCTGCCACACGTTCTACAAAGTATGAGACAGGGCATGCCTGGGGGTCGGGGCGGTCGGAGGGGACTCTTGGGGCATGTTATAAATGGCGCATATTTTGTGCATTTCATTTGCGTGATTTGCCAGCCCGAAATGTGTAGCATTTTCCATGCAAGACAGAGAAAACAGAGAGGGATAGAGACACGTTCTATCTCGGATGAAGGGAAGATGGACTGCCTGACTGCCAGGCAACAACAGGTTGCATGGTGGCCGCATAGCTGCTTAGTTTGTGGATGCCGCCTGCCTGGACGCCTGCCAAAAGGCCTGCAACCTCATCGCTGCTGCCCTTTTTTTTTTTTGTCGGTTATCAGAGCGCGCCAAGATGGATGTTTAATTGACCGCAAATAGAAACTATAAATTATGGCAGCGTTGCTAATCAGAAAATTGCTTTAATGAGCTACGAGATTCTGAGGCGAGTCTCGGGCGAGTGCCACGCCTTTTGGGGCACTCATTAGTCACTCGGCGACTGGGGCAGGGCCAGAGCCAGCCACTCTGTAGATGTGTTTTCTCCTCCCACCAGCAGAACGAAACATCGAAAGTCGCTGAGCAAATAAACAAAAGCCAGACGCAGACGGAAATCCATCAGGCCTGCCTGCCCATCCATCCAGAGATCTCACGCGATGGCGAGGGGTCCTCTACCCTCTCCCGAATGCAAACATCAGCTAAATATTTATGCACGGAGCGGAGCAAAAGATCAGCCCGCCAACCGCTGGCAGATCATCCGATCATCCGATATTCAGATTCCACAGATCTTTCGGATTGTCTATAAGATATTCGACTGTTGTTTTGGTAACCTTTGAATGTTGTTCTGTTCTTGGGGGCAAACCGAATTGAGATTGGGATTTGGTTTTTATTATTTTTGGGGGGCTTTCTCTCTCTCTCTCTCTCTTGCCCTCTTTCCATTCCATTCCGTTCCGTGGCTGTGTTCCGTGTGTGTTCATTATGCGAATCAGCAGACCAAATCACTGACAAATCTGAACGCCAGCAGCACAACATCATCATCGAAACAGAGCACAGAAATAGTACTAGTCGATCGAATCAAAGAAAAAGCAATACTACGGTGGGGACTTATTTTCTTTCAGAGAAAAATATAGGAGGAAAATTCCAGGTAGAAGGTTGTGATTGCTCTCGATGGAAGCAGAAATATGATCTAATCAATGGTCTTAGAGATCAGGAGACACCTTTGAGCCGCCCCTTAGAGATTCCCTAAGCTAAGCCACTCTGTGAAGGAGAGATTGATCCCCCCTGAGGGGCAGGGACTCCTTCTTAAGCCAGTAAACGCTTTATTCTTAGAGTTTTCTGTGCGAGATGGAGCAAAATTAAGGACAGCCACGGCGATCCCTTCAAGCTTTCATTAAAACTCTTTGTGCCTTTCGAAACGAATAAATCCGTTCGATTATGGGTAATTTCCACAGCGTGTCAACGTTTCAATCAATTAAGGTCTTGGGAACAGTGAAATGAAACGAGAGAACAGTGGAAAAAGAGCATAAGGGGTGTTTTATTAGGTTTTAACTGTAGTTGCCACAGATAACCGACTAGTGAAACAGTGGAATTGGATCATAACTGTGTTTTATTAGGTTGCGTGTGTAATTTCCACAGAAAACCGACTAGTGGAACAGTGGAAATGGTTCATGAGTGTTGTTTTTATATTGTAGGTGTAATTTCCACAGAAAACCGACTAGTGGAACAGTGGAAATGGATCATGAGTGTTGTTTTTATATTGTAGGTGTAATTTCCACAGATAACCAACCTATGAAACAGTGGAAATGGGACAACAAAAGGCGGAACGGTGGAACTGGAACACCAAAATCAGATTTCCTTACCTTCCTTGTTGTGGGCGGGACCGTGGAAATGAAACGTCTCCGATTGCCTTTCCCAAATGACATTGTTTATTCTTTTTTTTTTGCGGCCTTCTTAGATGGCTTTCCCTCGCCGTCGATCGCGTGTTGCAAGTGCCACTGGTGCCGCACTAGTGCAGCGTCGCACTAACCCACAAAGGCAGTCACTCAAAAGTGACACGGATACGCGCTAAGTGCCTCCAATTGCTGTCGATCGTCGGTCGAGTCAGTGATCTCAATTCATAGCCGTCACGGACAGAGTATTCGCTGGCTCTGCCCTTCCTCCGCCGGAATTGAATTATGAGAAATTTGTGTGTCCCCGTCCGGGTGGAGGCGTGTTAATTACGTTCCGTGTCGCATGCAGGCGGACAGGACAAGTTTAAAGCGTTCAACCTGTGCTCCACAGATGCGGGATCTCTAGCCCCAACTTTCAGAACTTTTCCTGCGTGGGGCCTCTACTCGTGTGTGTGTGTGTGGCGTGAGTTTTTCACATTGTTTGGCATTTTATGAGCGTGAAATTAAATTAATTAAAACTA